AATTTGGGCCCAGTCCCCTCGGTACTGACAACGGCAGGATTTTGCTATGAACCCGCATATTTTATTTAGTTAATTGTGATAAAAATGTGCAGCCTTGAAGATCATTTATCGAACGTAGCAAACGTATGCTCGCCGATTTACTTTTTAATTGCCAACATTGCGGTTGGAGGCGATAATTAGTGCACTAATTATCTCTAGTATTGTTCGCCCCCGCTGCGCTCTGCTGACAGAATTACCTGCCCTATCCGAGCGGAGCCTGCGGGTTGAACAGATTATAGCCGAAGGAGTTCACGACCGTCGCCTCCCATGCGGATGTTGGTCACGACAAACCGAAAAAGGGTGTCAGAGTTCTGTCGACTGGGTCTTGGTTTGATAACAGATTTGACGTCACCCCATCTCAATACTGATGTGTTCAGCCATTCGCATCACGAGTGAGATTTCCATTCTCCTGACGTGCCCTCGAAGTTGCACTAGATCCGGGGCGGGAAGCCAGGCATCGGGACCAGAAGACTTATCAGTCTTTCTTCCAGATTGCTACTCGAAGCTTCTCGGGTACCGTCTGCAGAGAGGGCAGAAGATACCCAGATGCAGTGGATTCGTAGACGAGATTACTCGATACGCACACCCGCGGCAGTACTTAAGGTATCAAGCAGGGTTGGTGCAGTTTGTAAACGGCTACGACAGTCAGATACATAAATCCGTTCAGTTGGCAGAACCCATGGGTTTTCAGTTTGTTCGACCTTACTCATCCCGATGTGCCTTCTCATCGCGAGTAACTTTAGTCAGGTGAATGCAAGACTACCGACTGGTTTCGACATCAGGGAACTGATTTGCACTTGTAGGCTTTAACTAGAGAATTAACCTATCAATTCGGTCAGTCACCCGATACTGTGCGAAAGGTTTTCTCTACAAGCCTGATTATGTGCCTCTAGGGAAAAGACAACTTGGAAACGCAATTATTCTCCCGGAGCAAGCTAAACGCACTTGTTGAATGCGTATGAGACAGTGTGAACAGTTAGCCGTGCGGAAGAAAGTGGTAAACAGTACAATAAGTTACTCGATCCTAGGGCATATTGTAGACATCGATCACTCAGTGGACGGAAAGATAGCTTTCTACTTAGTACTGACGAACTGTCGGAAGTGAGTGAGGTAAGGCCTACTTACTGAGGCGGAGAAAGCGCAAACAGGCTGAGCAAACTCGTTCTGCGCACACGGCACCCACGCAAGCACTGCGGTTACCATGGCCTTAACCGGAAAACTGTATTGACATCGAAACAAGATACCAGCCAGCAAACTTTTATCAGACGGAGTATCCACGCATTAGCCTCCTTTCATTTCACCGCTGCGTTCCCTGTATTTACTCGCCTACATGTCTCGCATTTCCGCCTTTGTCATGATGGGCATTTTTTGAAAATGTACCGTCTTACAAATTTTCCTATGGGATAATTTAGCGTTTTCAAAAGAGCAAAATTGATGTGAAGGAACTTCTAGTTGACGAACACTTGACTGTGGTCGTAATGAATAAGAAAAAAATGACTTACCTGCTTTGAACTTAATAGTCAAATTGGCGTGGGAGCCCTTGTACAGAGTGCAGGGTTTGGTGTCACAGGGGATAACCTCCACCTCATCAAAACTGCCAGACTTGGATCCTGAAAAGAAAGTCAGCGAACGATTAATAGCATTCGTCTAATAACAAGTTTGAACAGTATTCAGTTATACTCTACCGAAATACGTGACTGCATTTGAAGTGTTCGAAGTATACGGTATTTCGCACATACCACCATCCTAACCGTCGGACTACATTACTTCCGCACAAACGGCCAGTTTTGACCCTCTGTTCATAAACGGTCACCTGTATCTACTGTCAGTGGAAATTTTGACAGACATGAGGGCTTCATGCCGTACATAGCACATCTGTTAGAGTAAAAGCTTGGGCAGCTATATTGTACAATCATAAGCATCTGGGCAGGTACCGCGGAGGCCTCATTTGTCGAATGCCTGCTAAATTCTCACATTGGTATATTTTCTAGCTTTGGTAATTATTCATTCCTTTTATTATTTTGGACCAGTATCCAGATTAGATAGTGTCGGCCGTCGACAGACTTCTTTGTCATGGAAATGGCGAAACGAGGACTTGCGCGTGGAGAAAATAATATTTAGACAAAATCGCTTTCCACAAAATTTAGGACAATTTTCAGTGATTAAAGAACTGCATTTTGTAGAACGGTTCTAATTCTACCATTCCACTCTGGTCGGCTATTTGTGAAATGCCTCGTAAATGTAAAAAATGTATTGAACAACACCTAAATGTGGCTTGTAACTGAGCCCTCTAACAATACTATCTTGCCTTATATCACGTGATTTGTGGTCAGCGCTGAAATCCTTCAACTAAGGCCGCCTTATCACAGTTCAGTCGATAAAAACTATGAGTCCACTTTTTAGTCATAAAGATGAAAAAAGTAAAACAGAAATCAGCTAACATGTTTGCGTCCCCGATTTGTGTTTCACATAAGACTGCCATATCCCCGTAGATAAATAATTGAAATTGATAATAAAGCTTACCGCAATCCTCTACGTCGGGAATCGGGTCACCGAGAGCCCCCGCGATGGCGACGGTCAAGATCAGTAGACGGAGCGACATATTCGTGCGCACACACACCACTGAAGCCATAACCACAATTATACGGAGCCGTCCGCCGCCGGTGGTATGATGACAAGCCGCATGACCAGTGGCCATGAGGGTTTTCATTGGCCTTAGGTCACAAGCTGTGCTGCTATTGGTTGGAGGCAGTGACACTGGATTTCTCTGACCCATGTCCTTTCCTCCAATG